TCTCTCTCTCTCTCTCTCTCTCTCTCTCTCTCTCTCTCTCTCTCTCTCTCTCTCTCCAGCTCAGTGTTGAACTCCCGGTGCACTTCTCTCTTGCAGCTCAAGGCGTTTATTTCCATATGAATGAGAGAATTTAGTGGCAGTTATACTCAATTTATATGTAGTATATGTTGTGATTGTGTGTATATTTTTGTTAGAATTTTTGGTTGCTTTTAAGCCAAAACTTTATTTAGACAAACAGTGAAATGCATATCAATTTAATAATCTGATGATTGCTTTTTTCAGCGTTTCTATAGTTTGCAAACATCTGTTATAATAAGCATTATATGCCTAACTATTTGAAGCATCCATTAGTCTATTAGTATAGTATTTTACTTCATATCTCACAATAGAAATGTGATACAAACACATATGCCATTCATATGCCATATATTTTCACTTAACAAATGCTTTTTCAATTCTTAAATCAGTCGAAATCGCTGTTAGTTTTATGTAATGTTTTTATTGGACTCAATCCTAACATCTTTTCACTCTAAAAGCACTGTTCGTCTTAAAATGAAAAGTCAAATGAATAGTCAAATGATGTTTCAATCCATTTGTGTTGAATAAATATTAACAAAACTTTTAAACAGTTATTAACAAATGCAAGGATTAGACGACGACTTTTGAAATTAGTTTGGGATTTGTTTTGATTAGTATTTTTAGCATTTTTTCCGATTGCATAGTAAAGCAAAATGTATTGTAAATGAGGTTTAATTATCTAACAATTGACAGAAAATAATGCAATGAATGTGTTGGAGATTTATTCTCACATTTGTCAAAGAAAAATACTGAAACACAATATCCATAGTTTGTTATAACCAATGCTCACTCACTCACTCTCTCTATCTATTTGGTACACATTTTGTGGTTATTTTAGCAGTAAGTCCTTAAATGTCAACATTTACTGAGAGAGTAAATAGCATTAAGAGTCGAAACAAGACACACATTTAGTAGTTCGCAGTGAGCCCAGGGTCTGGTCAGGTCCGGGCGGATGCCATTCAGTCACAACTGTCAATACAAAGTCAGTTCGTTTCGATCCGCAAACTAAAACCCAAAGCCAAACCTTTTGTCTACTCGTCATCACTACTCCTACTACTACTGAAACGCAAAGATTTGTATCCAATTTCAGCGCAAAATTGCGAACCCGTGTTGTGTTGAGCATAATCTTTGCTTAGTATCAGCTTTTATTGGACTTCAGATACACATCACATCAAATTATACCACACATTATACACTATAAAATGCACATCAATTCAGACCTCAATCACTCAATACTCACAATCAAAAAGCATTTCAAATTTCATTATAATCTTATCTAACATTTATTTTCATAATATTTTTTTAATGAATTACATTCTACACAATGATATCATTTATAATAATAATATTATTATTACAATCAATAGTTTTAAATTTATGTTATAGTATTTTATTATATTATAAGTTATGAATATTAGCGCAAATAATATGATATCAAAACATACAATAATACCAATCAATCAAAAGAAATCGGTTTTCAAAAAATCGTTTCTCATTTTTAGCGTTTAAATCAAAGTAAATGAATAACAAATCAATGCATAAAATATATACAAATATTTACGAAATACAAATCGATGTAATTGTGCGGCAAATTGAATGGCGTGTGTATTAATCGGTGCATTTGCTTCCTCTGCTGGAAGGGCTGCTTCTCCAAGAACTGGCTTCAGTCGACAGATCCACTGCCGTCTCGTGTGCGGCGTTTCCGCGAACCTCTTTGAAGGCGGACACAGAGTTAGGGCTATCGGGGCCTCCGTTTTGCAACATAACGGCCGCTGCAGTTGTCATTGAATTACTGCATTGACTGCAACCCGACGGACAGACAGAGCCGCCGCCCGTCGACGCGCCCGTAAACGCGTTGTTTGGATGAAATAAATAGTGAATCGCAGCCGCGTTAGGGTAGGGGGCGATCGATGGCGAGCCACCGAAGTCCCGGTGATAGGCGGCGCCCGACGACGAAAACATGTTTGGAAATATGGGCGGAGGCGGCGGTCCTAACGGTGGGTTTCGTGTGGAGCCGAACAGTGAGTTAGAAGTCGATAAACTGATGCCTGAACTCAATGGAGTGAACGCTGACTTAATAGAGCCCAATATGGGACTCATATTGGCTTCAATTTCTCGCCTCCGTTGATGTGCTTCACTGAATGAGGAGTAATTGTGTCCACTATTGGTGTGATTTGAATGCAAAATCATTGCATCGTTTATCGAGAGGAAGTGTTCGATGGCTTTGACTACATCTCCATTACAGCCCTGAAGTACTAAATCAAGTACTGAACGCTTTTGATGAGGAAATATACGTGAGATAACGTCCAGAGGGCTGAGCCGTCCGGGCCTGAAGTCTGCGGGAATAAGATTACCCAACTCTGGGTGCGAGAGGCCAGAGGTCTGTGACGGAGGCGGCGGCGATGGGATCAATGAGGGGTGTCTACGGATCATGAATTTGTTTGCATTGATTTTGATGGCTTTGGACTGTTGGCTGAGTTTGGGATCAGAGTTGTTGTGCGGACTCATAGAGTCGGTGACAGGACTTCTAGACATGAGGACTGTTTGCTCTAATGGTGTGTCAGAGAGGGACTGCGGAGGCAAAAGGTTAGGAATTGGTGTCATTTGTGTCTTCTCTTCTGACTTCATATCCTCACAGGACTGATGCTGTGATGAATGGCTTTTCACTAAAAACAATACAACTTTTGTGTTAAGATGTGACTGAATTTTTTGGCTCTATATGTATGACTTAATACATGTTTATCTATTGGTTAGGTTTTGAGTAGAAAAGAGAAATAACAATAATATCAATGATGTTATGGTCGAGTGTTGACCACTATTTTGTTTCGATTGCAATATTATAGCCTTTTATTCGCTTTTTTCTATATTTTTTGTGCTCACAATTAGATTACAGCAAAAGCAGGGCTTATATGCCAACGGCTATACTCGCTATATGTTTGCCTTTTGATACTCATTCCTCTCACTATTCTGACGATTCGTTAGCACTGGTAGTGATAATACACTACTGTTTTAAATAACAAGCCATTGAATATTATACTATTTAAACCGCAGTTGTTTGAATAAATTCAGTGTATTTTTAATTCAATTCTTGACAAAAATACTTTTAGATAAAAGTCGAAAGATATAATGCATTTTTAAACAAACATATTCTGCGATTAAGAGCCAAACAAAAAGTTTATCTTTAAAAACAACTCAAAGAATAATCTTATTTGCGAACAAATTGTGGCAAAAGTTTATATCATGTCTTACCTGTAATCTCGATGTTATTGAGTCTTGAGTTTGTGTTATCAGTGCTCGCGTTGTCTTCAATGGCACTTTCGCTGTCGTTTTGGTCGTAATCATCGGATTCGCTATTATTTGTGTTGTCGTTATTCTTCATTGAATTATCCAAACGATTCTTTAGTTCAGTTAAGGGTTCTGTCACTTGAATCCCAAATATAGGACCGGGAGGTAAATAAGTGTTGACGGGAGCGCCGGTGGCCACCGCTCGCAAACCCATCGCAATGGCGTCTTCAGCCGCCTGTTGTCTCTTAAGCGCGACCTAAAAGATAATGGCATTTAAGGGAAAGTCCGATTGGGATGCGATGGCATACCTGTGCAGCCATAATGCGCTGGCGTTCAGCGATGAGATTGCATTTGGCACACGTGCAGTCACGGAATCGACAGTGCCTTTTGTGGCCCTTTAGCCACGAGATCATGCCGTGATTGCGACAACGGGCACACTTCGGTCGTCTCGCCGTCTGGCCATTGCCCGACCCGTTGGACGACCCGGACGTGGCTCTGGAGTGGTCGCGAACGGGTGGCGAGTGCTGTGACATCGTTGTGATCGGCTTTGAGATATGGCTAGAAGTCAGTTGAGAAGCGGACACATTGAATGGTGCGAATGGGAGTCCCGTCGGCCCGATGTGACCATTCATTAATCTTTGCATCGAAACAACTGACCAGACATTCAAATGTGTGACTGATTTTTGTGAATGAGTTGCGATACTGTCGGCGGAGAGGAAGTGCAACAACTTGTAGTCGAAATGGTAATAAAAATTGCGATAAAATTGTTTTATAGGATAACAAACCAACAAATATGTGATGAGTGAGTGATGAGAGAGGGAGAGACAGATAGAGAGATATATTGTCGGGAAAAGAGATATTTTGGACGAAACAGAAAAGGAGGAGTATATGGATGTAGTGTTGAGTGTGTTGTGTCGGCCCACACACCACGTATTCCAAGGCATTAAATATTGATTCCTTAAACAAACAGCGCTTCCCATTGGATGAGTGCATCTCTCAAAACCAAACAGTTGTTAAAAATGCTTTTTGCAGATCAAACAAAACGGATCTCAGATCTCGCTTACAAGCCGTTTTGATAGAGAGAGAAAAAACATGGTAAAGCATTTTGTTCTCTTAAATTATTGGCGAGTGTTTGTTAGTCAGGTATGCAAACAATACACATATATTCAAGTATTTCTTTGTCGGTAAAGGCATCGACAAAAAGTCAAACCGCAAGGCATTAACTCAAATGTATGGCACTTGTTATACACCAGTCAGTCATTCAAGTCATTACCGTATCGACCATTTCAACCAATTTTCAATACAAGCGCTCCTTTCAGACCATTCCTCTCTACCCCTCGACCCGTATTTCTGCCCAAATATAATATATAAATGTGTGTATTATTTGTATCTCTTTGTGAACATCCATTTGATACCTATATCAGTAGCGCTCAAACTATTGGTTAGCCCTCTTAACCGTCCACTAAATATCAACTTTCAATTTCTATTTAAACTACACTTTCGTTCGCTCTTATTATCAGCCCTTTTCCACATCTTTTTCATAAATGCATCAATTTTTTTCCTAATATTTATATCTATTTGTTGTAACTGAACGTTACATTCAGTTGTAATGGAAACAAATTTGTCATTTTATTTTAGTCTTCATCTTATATCAAACAAAATAAAACTCGTATAATATTTAAACATTTTAAATTTGTTATTGTAATTGAAATTTTGTTATTCACACAAAAGTTACATTTACATTATGTAGTAATTTATATTTATATCGTTTGTTGTAATCATTTTATACTATATTATATCAAATAACATTTGATTTAAATGGATGAGCACTTTATTTGAATTTATATATCATTTGAATATCTCTTTCATCTCTTCCGCCGATTATATAAGAAGTAAAAATATTTTTATGATTGATTGACAAAAATTATCACATGGTTTATGTTATGGTAAATATAATTTGATTGTAAATGTGTCACACATTTGTCAATATTCACCGCTTAGGACCGGACGCACAGTCCTATTACTACCAATCGATTCGGTAATTGCCGGACACTTATAAGCAATGGTAAAGTGTATGACAATTTGATTGTCAATTAATTTATACCTCATAATTGTTTTCATATAAACAACTATTAAAGAAATTAAAATTATGTTTTTATTTCACATAAATTTATAAAATAATAGGGAAACTAAATTAAAATATATAATAAATTATCACTTTTAAGATTTATATCCATTACAACTATTAACGTATTCACCTAGCTGAATTACTAGTGATCACAGTTTTAACTACTAAATGTTTTCAAGAAATCTACAATAATAGTAAGATATGATAATAAAATTAATTTTATTACTAAAGTTAATATTTTTATTCAATAGTTAGTAAAGCTTTATTTAAATATGTTATTTAAAATATGAATAAAATTAAGATGTGTAAACTAAACTACAAGAATGTAGAATTTTGATGAATAATATTGTATTGAATTCAATGAAATTCATTGAATAAAAGATCTCTCAGTTGACACCTATTGACAGAAAGACTTACTATTGTTTTGAGATTTATAATGAAAACTGATTGTCTCGTGGGGTTCGGGAAAAGTTTGTTTAAAATTAACCAGTAATACTATGAAATTAACTATAGACATAAATGTTAGTGTTAGCAACTTACAGTTAGACTTATTTTTACAATTATCAATGAAATAACATTATTTCCATGTTATCTACAAATAAAGACATTACGTAAACCTAATAATATTAAGTAATTATATTATGAGCTGTTATTCCCAAAGTTTTAGTGAAAGGATACATGCTTATTTTATAAATTATAAGTTTAATTCTTAATTGTATTTGAATCACATAAGTAACAGTGATATTAAAACTATTTTTATAATAAATTACAGAATTTTAATATTTAAACGATAGATGTCTGACATTTACCAATTGTCTGACTTAATACTGTGCTGTAGATTAACGTAAGAAAGTATTTACTGTACTATGAAGAATAATTTAGACAATATTTAGTACAGTACATAATCATGTAACCTTATGCCAGATGTGTTAATCAGAATAATATGTAGATTAGATGTAATATTCATAATGAATTAAGAGTTTCGTTTCAAAGGAAATGCAAATGTATTTCTCATTTTATGTTGAAGTGGTCGGAGAAACAAAGAATTGTTTGCGTAAATATATAACAAATACAAACCGATATTTTAATTTGAAATTTAGGAATTATAATATATAACTTCCGGAAGTGAACAAAACCATATATAAACCAAATATTGACCACAATTGCCAGAAACGCATATCAAAACACATCCCAATCACAAGAATACAAAACTCCGAGTTGAGAGCCAAACGACAAGCGAATCGATGTTTGAGTTCATAAACTTTAAATGATTGACATTTTTGCGAAAAACAATAGCGTAATCAATACGAGAGAAGAATGTATTATAGAAATTGTTCTCCAAATTATTTTTTAATAATCTAAATAAATAAAAACTGAATTTCACTATAAAGTAATGTTTTTTCAATAGTTGTATTGTTCTGTACATATATTTAGTAAAACTTTCAAATATTTCAGTGCATCCATTAATTTCAAAGAATTTGTTATTTTTTCATTACTTAAAAGTCTTGTATTTTTGTTGTATATATTCTGTATATTTAATAAACTAATCAAATATAAGTTATGAAAATTTTGTTATATATTTTTTTGTCGGAAATTTTTAAAACAAATAAATTTAAATAAAAAATTTTGTCAATAAGTTTTTTCTTATCTAAAACACTGTTATTTGTTGTATGAATTGAATTACAATACAATATTTACAATCAATTTAATGCTCTTTTGAACTGAATTTTTTTTGTCTCAAAATATATTTGAAATATTATTTGATTTATTCATTCGTCTAATGCTCGACTCGACTAAAAATGATTGCATAACTTATATCTAATATGGATTTTATTTGTTAATCTCTATATTTATATATATTTCAGAGCATTTTTGAGTATTATTTAACGCTTGTTATGAATTAATGTATAGAGAAATTTGAGACCAAATTTCGTCTATTCTTTCCATATTATATATAATCAGTCAATAATTAAATATATAATTAATTATAAACAACAATAATTATTTTTTGTTTGTTTGTTTGTCCATCTCTTCATCTAAAATATTTTGTTATAAATATTACATTTAAAAGACATAAAATGGTTTCAATTAAAACAACTCAATAATTGATGAAAAATACTCTACAGAGAAAACCGATAGAAATTTGTTGTAATTATTATTACTATATTTTTTATCGATCGCCAGACATCTGTCACAAACTGATCACTCAATTAGTCAACAAATATGTTATGAATATTATGAGCGTTTAATTATACCTCCTTTAAGATATACAGTTAAATGATTGTACGGCTACTTATGGTTTGTCAAAATTGTTTTATTAAATGGCATCAAATCTATTAGATTTTTATGGATTTTATTAATTTTTTGTAAATGAATGGCAACTATAAGACGGTGTGATCTAATTGAAGGCCAGGTATGGACAGGTGTCGGCGATATTCAAATAAAAGTTATTTTTAATATTTCTTTACATTTAATATTGTTTTTACTAAAAACTTAAAGTATTTGTTGTATGAATTTATTTTTTTTTTGAAAAAAGTTATCTTATTATTTAGTTTTTTAAAAATAACATTAAAATTAAAAGATGTAAAATAAATAGTTTATAATTATAATAATAAACTAATAATTTTTCGTTTTATAATATTATTAAATACTTTCATGTGAATAGGGATTTGTAATGTAATGTTTGTTTTGTATTTTTTGTTTGTTGAGGTCTACAAAGATATTGCTTAAGTAATTGTGAATGAAGTGCCACTCTTTTCACTAAAGAGTACAATATATTATACAACTCTTGTTATCGGGAGTAATAGTGAAAGGATTTTATATATTTTATTAACAATTTTACCAAAAAATTTTCATTTGTTTTTTGTTCACTTTTCGCTAACACCAAAAAAAGTCTTTTTTTCTTATCATTAAGACTTTTTTCATCTTCTTTTCACTTAACACTTCTGTCTCTCATTTGAATGTTTTTAGAAATCATTTTTGTCTATTATTTTATTCACAACAGTTGTCTCTTCTGCTAAAAACATAATTGACTTTCTATTCACTTCTCTATTGTCTTAAAAATTCTGTCACTTTTTCATCATATGATAAGCAAATGTCACGCAATATATACTATACCACTCATTATATGTGTTTATTTTGTAATAATAGTATTATTACTTTTTTCCTATTTTTCAGATTAACTTTTATTTTCCATATATAGGTCTCAATAATGTCTTTCCGTTCATCTCTTTTTGGTTTTTCAAATACTTTTTTATTTTGTTTTTATTGAATAAAATTTCGAGTGAAAGTTGTGTTAAGTCTTAATCGTCACCACATTTTATACCACATATTTTTATATATCTGTTATCTTCATAATAATTGCACAAAATATTATATCACTTAATGACTACTGGATTAATAAATAATTAAATAAAAATTAGGCTAAAATATACAAAATTCTTTACAAAATATAATGTTTTGTTTTGTAAAATTAAATTCTAGTTTCTATTGGAATTATAAATTTCAAAATATGTA